TTCCCTGTTAATAAATACAGAGGTACATGTGAAATTAAAAGATTGAGACTACTCTCACATAAGAATAAACAGAACAGGGACTGGGTTGGCCAAATTTTATGAAGATTAGACATGCAGTGTACTTCTGAATGTCTTCTTGGGAGAGTTGAAGAAACTGGGGCTGTTCTATCTGGAGAAGAAAGGCCTTAGGTGGGATTTATTCATGCCTCAAAATCTGAAAGCCGTAAGATGGTAGCATGAGAAGAACTGTTCCGTGTATAAGAAATGATTATCTTAAAAAAAAAAAAACTGTACTTTGAGACAGTTTTGCATAAAAATGCAATAGGATATTATCACAAAGAAGGGTTCTCCCTACCATTTGAGGTCATGTCAACAAAAGTCAGAACTGGTAAGAAACATCACCGTTATAATCCTCATCTTCATCCTGTCATCTCACTAATAATAATTGTAAAAATAATAATAATAATTGTGATTGTAGTAGGAGTGGCTACTATTTATCAGGAAATATTCTATATGTCAAGCTCTTTGGTAAGTATTTTAAAAATAATAATAACCACTAACACGAATTTAGCACATGCAGTGGGCATTCGAAGCACTTTCCATTCCTTAATTTAATGTCATCCTCACAATGCCCCATGAAGCAGAGGCTGTTGCCATCCCCTTTATACAGATGAGAAGTGGCAGTGTTAAGTGACTTTCCCAAATCCCCCTTATAGGAAATAAAAGAGCCAGGGTAGTACCATTTTAGCTTCACAGTGAAAACCCTTTGAGATACCATGGCCTCCATTTTACAGTTGAAAAGTCAACACCAGAGAGGTAAACTGACTTTCTCAAAGTCACCATCTAGTGAGAGGGCTAGTGAGGATTCAGATGTATATCTGGCTGACTCCAAAGCCCTGCTCTTATCTTCTAATCCAACATACCTTATCACTTCCCATTTTATAGAACTAGAATGAAAATGTGAATTCCATAAAAGTATTCATCTATGTAGTTATCACATGCTCTTTGAGCACCTGCTATGTCCCAGGTACCATGCTTCAGACCCTGTGGTGCTTAGATATAGTGTGTGTGTGTGTGTGTGTGTGTGTGTGTGGTGTGTGTGTGTGTGTAATCTTAAGTACTTAATTTGTGGCAGGAATTATGAAGTAAAGATGCAGTGTCCCAGGTAATCAGTTAACAGTGGGATCTAATTTAGTTGGAGTAGAGTGTGTGCGTGGCGGAGGGGGAGTACATCTATTGGATTAGAAAACAGTGAGGCTCACAGTCTACCTTGCAGAGGAAGTGTTATTTAACTAATACCTGGAAGATGAGTTGGAGCTAGCATTGTAAAAGGTTTCAAGCAGAGACAGATACTCTAAGAAGGAAAAGAACTTGGTTGGTTTCAGGAGAGGAAGAATGGTGCGGTTGAAGCTGAGTAAATATGGGATGTGAAGCCAGAGGGGTAAGCAGTGACAGATTATGGGGGTCTTGCAGGCAAAGGCTTTATTCTAATAGCAAAGAGGAGAACTCTTAAATGGTTAAAAGAGGGGAATATGTCATGATTGCATTGTATTTTTTGACTTCATGGTAGCTGTGCGCAAGTAGATTGCAATGAGGGTGGAAAGGAAGACAGTGGAATGGGGTCAATTGGTTGTCTGTTGTGGAAGCTACTTGAGAATGTTAGTGGCTTCAACCAGGATGATGGGAACACAATTGAGAAAGGCGATTTGGGGAGATATTTGAAAGGTATAATGGACAAGGGCCAGGGAACAGTTGCAGGCAAAGGGTAAGGTTGAGGGGGAGGATCCAAGGGTGATAGAAGTACTGGCAGCCACATAGCAATTTAACGGCAGAGTTGAGTCCTCCAACTCCCAGATGCTCAAGCCAAGGCCGATGCTACTTTGTTAAAAAACTCTCGGAGAAATTTAAGGGCAAATCTGGATGAGCTACTTTTAATTCTGATACTCTACAGTCCTGATTTTCTATAGTTTTAATAGTCTATGAAACCCTGTGTTGAGTACCATGATGGATAGAATAATGCTGCATGGAATCCAAAGGAAAACATTAATTGTCCCTGGCCTTCAAGAAAGGAATTTACAAGTTTGCAAGAAGACACACACTCAATTAGAAAACAACTATGTGAACACTTAATTTGCAAAGAAATGTTCCAAATGATGCCAGTGGTTTTCAGAGTTCCCATACGAAGACTTTTGAAAGGAATTAGAAGGAATAACGAAGTGTTTCGTAAAGGATGAGGTTTATGAACTGGAGTTTGAAGTGATGGCAAAGAACAGTGCCTCTTGGGAGAGATAAGAGCTATAAAGGCATTTTCCTGTCCAGGAAGGAGCATATGCAGAAGCCCAGATATACTGATAAGCGAGGGGAGTGGGAGGGACAGGAAAAAAAATCTCCAGATGGACCCAGCTCCAAATCCTGGCCCCATCCGTGACAAGCATAGTCCTACTGCCTCATCTTTAAAAAGGGGTATTTAATCAGATACCAGTAACTGCAATATGGCAACATTGTTTGTTTTATGTAGTTTGATTTCTCATAGCAGCTATCAGAGTGATCGGCATGTGATAAATGATCATATGCACTAGTTCCCATTCTCAAGTGTGAAGATGATCTTGGTCCAAAAGAAGGATACAAATTGGGTAGTAAGATGCTAGATCCTGAAGGGACTTCATGGAATCCCAGGATCTCATTTGCATGTGGGGAAGGGACTTGGCTAAGGTCACAAGGCAAGTCATTGCAGAGCTAGCCTATAAACTCAGATCTCCTGGTTGTCCAGCGTGCTTGCCTTCCCCCTACCAATAGACTGGTTGGTAAGGAGAGCCTGGCTCCTCAAAGGCTGACCTGGAACTCTGCAGGCTCAGACAGAATTTAAGCCCCATCAGGAGTCCTCCTTCTGCCTCAAACATTCTATTTATTGTTCCCAGCCCTTCCATCTTGGGTTGTCTCTGAATAGCTAGGGCCGATCTTCCCCGATTTGCTCAAGAAAAGCAGTATAGTGAAGAGACCACACTGTTATCTTTTGACAACAGCCTCCAGATGTAGGAAACTCCCCAGACTACCATGATATTAGAGCAGCCCGTGTCACTTCAGCTCGCTCATCCTTGGCTTCAGTTAAACTTGCTTTGCAATTATTTCTGTCCCCAGACCATGTCACCTCTTGGAGCCACATGCTAAGGCAATTGACTTCCCTCTGTGGGAAGGCGAATGGCTTCTGATGAATCTAGATTTCTCTCTTTCAAGTCTCCTTTCCTGAGCCCCAGATAAAGGGGAGACTGCGGCTCCTTTGTCCTTCGGGTTTCAGAAGGCAGAGGCCTGTAAGCTTCTGGGCATCAAAGGCTGTTGTCATTTCCCGCCTCCTTCCCCTTCCATGCTCCTCCTCCTGCAAGTAATTTCCAGTACAGTCCCCTCCAGAGTAGCCAGCAGGCTCCCCGCCAGCCCCATGTGCCGCGTTTCCTGACAACTGCCTGGCCTGGGATTTCAGACTCTCTCCCAGCTAAAGAATCTGCTGTGCGACAGTCACAGCTCTGCTTTGCGCTCCCCGCTGCCCCTACCTGGATCCCCACACCTAGCAACTGCCGATAGAAGACAGGTCTGCCTCTCATGTCTTCTCTCGAATCTCTGAAAGAGCAACCTGGGTTTCTGCTTCCAGAAAGCCTCACGTGGGCTTCCCTGGTGGCGCAGTGGTTGAGAGTCCGCCTGCCGATGCAGGGGACGCGGGTTCGTGCCCCGGTCCGGGAAGATCCCACGTGCCGCGGAGCGGCCGGGCCCGTGAGCCGTGGCCGCTGAGCCTGCGCGGCCGGAGCCTGTGCTCCGCAACGGGAGAGGCCACAACGGGGAGAGGCCGCCGTACCGCAAAAAAAAAAAAAAAAAAAAGCCTCACGTTTCAAATCTCTGAGCTGGACAAACTCTTAAAGATTAACAAAATTCAGACCTAACCTCTTATCGTATAGCTGGAGAAACTGAGACCCAGGAAAGGATATTACTTGCCCGGTGCTCACCATGATTTGGGGCCCCTCTGAGACTGAAAGTTTGAGTTTGTGACTCCCCAAACCAGTGTTCTCCTGGTTTCTGGTTCTGTTACAGGGGACGTATGTAATTTCTCCATACCCCCATATTAGTGTGTGCTAAGACGAACCACCTGCTTCATCCCTGCTGTCAGCAGAGAGTGAGGACTCAGGTGTCTTGGGATGCCAAATTCATAACGAAGGGGGCATCTTAGGCAAAGCCCACTTGCACTACATGATTCTGCAGGAACTTGACCCCATTCCTGGCTATCTCCTCGGGTTGCCGCACGTAGGCTGCAGCCTGTCTCTGGGAGAGGAACGTGTGGAGGCGTTTAGGACCCTGACAAGTCCAGGACTTATCCACTGTGTGGGAAGATGAAGTGGAGCACAGT